CCATTTGTTGTATGTTATATTAATGAGATGAGAAAAAATTATAGTAAAAATTCTGGACCAACCCAGTTAGATGTTGCTAACTGAATGCTTATTGTTTAAATTTCACAATAAATCTAATATTAAAATAATACTTGGCAATAAAAATAAGTTTGAAATAGTTAATAATAAAAACACGTAACATTTTGCTAACGATATCTCATTACAGATTCAATTACTTTGTAAAGACTACTGCTTACGTTAAGCATTACTTAGTGGTTTTTAATCAGAAATTGATTCAATTATAATAAAATCATAACTTTAATAATTCCCTTTTAGTTTACAACATTTAACAATATCAAGAAAAGGCTTAATTTTCTGAAGATATTGTTCAAAATACCCCTAAATCGGGCCAGCTAAGACGTATCCGAAATGCTAAATTTACCAAAGTCAGGAACAATTCTATGCGGGAAACGAATTTTTCAATCGGAAATCGAATTGCAATATTCCCATACATGTCTGTATTAAAAGTGTCACAGCGTCGCGACGCGTCGATAGCTCTATAGTGTTCCTCAAATATAATATTTTTATGTAGTCTTATATTTTTTATGAAGTCTTATCAGTTTTATGACCTGCTTTAATGTTTTTATTATTCGATAGGTTGTATTTGTTTATATTAACGAATGAATTTGTTTTTTTTTTTTCCATTTGCAATACCTTTATCAGAGTTTCTCAATCTGTAGTTTATTAAGACATTTCCACAGCTTATTTTGGGATCTTCGTCATATATTAGAAGAATGGTGAGTAAAACTAGGAAAAATTTTCTATTATTATGACTCGAACAAATCCTATTAAAACTGGTTGAAATCGGTCCATAATTCCATCTGGTTTCCATACAAATGTTCACAGGAAACAATGTAATAAACTCGATAAATTTATATTAAATATTTTTTAAAAGAGTTGAAAGAAACGGATCAGTCCTCATCTGGGTACAGTTCCCACATTACTTGAATAAATATTTCGAAAGAATATAATCTCGCGAAACATGTAACTACTGTCCATAAATATCTGTCACATATTAATTTAAAGAAACGAAAATAAACGAATCGTTTCATATTTGGATACAGCTCCCATATAAGTAAATCTTTTTCATTTGAACTTGTAAAGTACTTTGAAAGAATACAACTTTTAGATGTTCCGAAATTCATATACTGCATTTTGTGTTTATAGTATCATAGAAGGTCATAGTACCGCTATAAAGTCTAGATCCGAAAATTTCTAAAATTGTTATAAATCAATACAAGTATACAAAAGACATAATATAACGTTTCATTAAGAACGGTCCATAATTGAACGTAACTCTCATATGTCTATAGTCTAGACTATAGTGCCGCGTTTCATTAGGAACGGTCTATAACACAGGCTGACAAAATTTGAAACCCTGAGACCAAGTAAGACGTTTCTAAAGGATTGATCCGTGAAGTTGTCTTGACGCTGTTATAACGTCTCAATAAGGGTCAAAAATGAGTCTTTTTAAACTACAAGACACGATATCTCAAATCCCAAATGTGATGGAGAAATTCAGATTCGGATTCAGCGAGACTCAATTCTGTAGAAAAGTCACTGGGTTAAAAATTTTTATTTAACGTAACTCCCATACAGAGCCCTCAATTAGAAAACACTTAAAATCACCTAAAATTTAACTAAGTTTTACCAAAGTTGCGCGAATATTTTATAATCGCTCCATAATTGGCCATAACTTTGATTCAAAGCTTCTATTCAGGGAAAATGTTGAAGGTATATTGCAGTAACATCCAACAAATATATTTTACCCTTTCTACGTTTGTAACACATCGAAAAATCGGTCCTAGATTCACAATAGTATATATGTATGTCTGAGTCCTTATTAGATTTAAAGATGGCCAAGCCATGTCCGTCTGTCAAAAGTACTATTGGGTTTGAACGGAAAGAGCCGTTTGTTTGGTATGGAAAATGAGCTACATAGGTTCGCGATTTCACCTAGCCCCTTACAAGTAGCCTCTCGTATATCGATCGAACAGTCAACGCACATAGGAATTATACTGTAAGATTTGTTTAATATCGTGCCATATTTGATCCTATCTTCCTAGTCCTTCTTCAGAAACTTTAAACTTTAAAGTTAATAATAACATAATAATATTTCTGTTTATAAGTAGTTATGACCTTTTACGATGTAGATAACGATATGTTACTTTTTATACCCACTACTTAAAGGGGGATAACTTGATCGTCTAATATCATTTGTAACACTTTTAGATATTAGTTGTTAACTTACAAAAGTATTTGCTTATGTATTCTTGGTGCATATTAAATTCTAAGCTGATCTTGCTATTTGTTCAAAGTATAAGATGGACTAGAGGACCTTCGATGAGAAATGTTTATCAACAAAAATTTCCAAAATCCATTCAACTAAAAACATTTTTAACGAGAAACTAATAATACTCTCATATACAATTATAGAGTAATAAGATATAGTAATTTTATTTATCAGTATCAGGCATGGACATTTATATATGATATTAAAAAATTTATAAAATGGTACATTTTGTTATTAAAAAGTACTTCAATTATATCTAAACAATTTGGGAGAATTATTTGAAATAATTGCTTAACAAATAGTCTAGACTATTTGGTAGAATGCTAGTATATAATGGTTCCATTCCTGTTATATGTTCAATTGCAAAGGGATTATAGACATTTACATATATTAAAATAGAAAGAAAAGTATACGACTATGAACTCATAGTAGGAAGATATATTTTGATAAAAATTATACAAACGATCGTAACTCTCATCTAAAGTAACATAGATCTTTTCAATTCACGGATGTAACGTGAAGGCGAATCCGTACAATAGGTTAATCAGTACAATTGGTAGAATGGATCAATCAATACAAAAAAGTACTATTTTATTACCGTTACCATCTCTGATAAGTATATAAAAATGAGAATGACTCAATTTGAGGGTAAATGAACTTAATAATTTCTCTCTCTCTTATCTTGTTTTGTAAGAATTTTCAGCGTTGTCAACTAAAAGCTTTTACCAAGGTTTTTGAGTGATTTAAAAAAATTCACAGCGAAAAGGAATGAGTCACTAAGTGAAGTGTTACACTCTTAGTTAGTTAGTTAGTTAGTTAGTTAGTTAGTTAGTTAGTTAGTTAGTTAGTTAGTTAGTTAGTTAGTTAGTTAGTTAGTTAGTTAGTTAGTTAGTTAGTTAGTTAGTTAGTTAGTTAGTTAGTTAGTTAGTTAGTTAGTTAGTTAGTTAGTTAGTTAGTTAGTTAGTTAGTTAGTTAGTTAGTTAGTTAGTTAGTTAGTTAGTTAGTTAGTTAGTTAGTTAGTTAGTTAGTTAGTTAGTTAGTTAGTTAGTTAGTTAGTTAGTTAGTTAGTTAGTTAGTTAGTTAGTTAGTTAGTTAGTTAGTTAGTTAGTTAGTTAGTTAGTTAGTTAGTTAGTTAGTTAGTTAGTAGTTAGTTAGTTAGTTAGTTAGTTAGTTAGTTAGTTAGTTAGTTAGTTAGTTAGTTAGTTAGTTAGTTAGTTAGTTAGTTAGTTAGTTAGTTAGTTAGTTAGTTAGTTAGTTAGTTAGTTAGTTAGTTAGTTAGTTAGTTAGTTAGTTAGTTAGTAGTTAGTTAGTTAGTTAGTTAGTTAGTTAGTTAGTTAGTTAGTTAGTTAGTTAGTTAGTTAGTTAGTTAGTTAGTTAGTTAGTTAGTTAGTTAGTTAGTTAGTTAGTTAGTTAGTTAGTTAGTTAGTTAGTTAGTTAGTTAGTTAGTTAGTTAGTTAGTTAGTTAGTTAGTTAGTTAGTTAGTTAGTTAGTTAGTTAGTTAGTTAGTTAGTTAGTTAGTAGTTAGTTAGTTAGTTAGTTAGTTAGTTAGTTAGTTAGTTAGTTAGTTAGTTAGTTAGTTAGTTAGTTAGTTAGTTAGTTAGTTAGTTAGTTAGTTAGTTAGTTAGTTAGTTAGTTAGTTAGTTAGTTAGTTAGTTAGTTAGTTAGTTAGTTAGTTAGTTAGTTAGTTAGTTAGTTAGTTAGTTAGTTAGTTAGTTAGTTAGTTAGTTAGTTAGTTAGTTAGTTAGTTAGTTAGTTAGTTAGTTAGTTAGTTAGTTAGTTAGTTAGTTAGTTAGTTAGTTAGTTAGTTAGTTAGTTAGTTAGTTAGTTAGTTAGTTAGTTAGTTAGTTAGTTAGTTAGTTAGTTAGTTAGTTAGTTAGTTAGTTAGTTAGTTAGTTAGTTAGTTAGTTAGTAGTTAGTTAGTTAGTTAGTTAGTTAGTTAGTTAGTTAGTTAGTTAGTTAGTTAGTTAGTTAGTTAGTAGTTAGTTAGTTAGTTAGTTAGTTAGTAGTTAGTTAGTTAGTTAGTTAGTTAGTTAGTTAGTTAGTTAGTTAGTTAGTTAGTTAGTTAGTTAGTTAGTCACTTTCGGATACTCTTTTCTGAAGGGAAGCGTACCCAGAGATTGCGTTCTGCATCGATGATACAAATAGTAGTGGGATAGGCCAAGATCTGTACTAAAAGGCATGCAGTGGGAAACGTCCCTACCACTCTTGTTTAAACAGTTTTTAACTGGTATTGCAATATGTGGATGATTATCCAAATGAATAAGTTGAATTCGGTACAGGTTTCCAGTGATTGTGTGATCAGATTTCATAGCGTTTATGAAAATGCTTTGTAAACACTATTTCTAATGAGAGTTTAGAAGAAAGAGTATCCTGAGAGGTTGAATATTTGATCGAAAATTTAGCAATATGAGGTCCCCCTAATAAAAATTTTGAACCAAAATCTATCTACCAAATTTCGTGACTAATGTCATCCATGACTTTCACGTGACGAAATAATGTCGTCTAACTAAATCTATTTATCACACTGATTAAAACTATAATCGGTATAAAGTACAAAAAATTTCCACCTTTCTAGATTCACGTGTCATTGACTTCTACACCCACTTCACAAACCTCTTCCGTTATCTAAATTCATGACCTTAATCCAATGCCAAATTATACAAAGTCATTGAAAACAATATTTACTTTTATTTTTACTTTTCTGCGAATCTTGCAGATAAGGCTGCCACTCAATTTTAACTTAAAAATGTTTCTTAACTTAATATCATTTTGATAAGACAAACAAATAAACAAATTAAAAACTATTAATAAAATAATAAAAATTGTTTAAATATTTAAAACTACTACAATTCATGATGATTGTTGTTATCAGCCACATCTTCCGTAGATGACCAATCTTCACGGATTAAGTCAATAGCTTTTTCGGCAATCATAACTGTGGGTGCATTTGTATTACCACTGGTAACATAAGGCATAATGGAGGCATCTACCACACGTAAATTTTCCACACCCCTGAGCTTAAGTCGTGGATCTACACATGCTGAGCTATCGTTTTCGGGACCCATTTTTACCGTACCCACATGATGATAACAGGTGGCTGAAAAATAGGTCAAATAACATCTCCAATATTCTTCTGACTTAAAGCTATATTGATCACACTCCTCTATGGGTATGTGTAAAATTTCAGCTTGTTTTTGTTGGAAGGCTTGAGTTTGTGCGAGATTCTCTAAATATTTGATGGCACGTAATACCACCTCCACATCTTCTGGTGCCGACATATAGTCAGCATTAATTATGGGTAATTCTTCAGGGTTAGAGGATTTCAGTTTAATATCTCCTGTGGATTTAGGATGAGCCAAATTGGTAAAGAATATCAAGAGCTCATTATCTTGTATGGTCTCTCTAAGATAGGACTTGTATTCTTCTTTTACCGACAAACCATTTAGAAATAGTTCTAAGGCCATGGCATCACCTCTTCTAAATATCAAGTGATGGAATTCTATATCAGGATACAGTGAATTTTTAGCTGGTTGGGTATTTATGAAACCGGTTAGGGAGGCAGTGCCATGTGAGGTTAAAGGTCCTTGGTTGTGTATTAAAAATTGATAAATATTATCTAAAACCGTTTTCTGATTAATGGGTTCTCCCGTTAGACGCATAAATACCTGAACCATTAAATGATCTTGCAAATTTTGTCCAATGGGTAAATTGTGTAGAACTGGTATGTTTAAAGGTTTTAGTACTGGTTCAGGTCCTACTCCAGATAACATTAATAGCTTAGCAGAGTCTATGGTTCCAGCAGATAATATGGCCTCACGTTTTACCTTGACTTGAAGAGTTTTATCTTTCAATATAAATTTCAATGATTCAACTTTTTGTCCAGTAGCATCAAATTCCAATTTTGTGACTTGAGCATTTTTGATGACTTTCAAGTTAGGTCTGTGGGAAACTTTAGCCAAATGTCCTTTACCAGTACTGGCTCTATGACCATTCTTCAATGTGCCCTTGAGATGTGAATAACCTATATAACTACCCTCAGCAAATTCTTCCACCTTGGGTACACCCAACTCACTGGAGCCTTGTAGTAGCATTTCCAATATATCCTCATCAAAGTGGTTAAATTCATTAATGGTTACATAACCTTGAGGATCAGTTTCATTGCCTACGGGTCTAACAGATTTCTCGAAATAAGGCCAGACTTCATCGTAACCCCAACCGGTATTACCCTCCTCTTGCCAGCGGTCATAATCGAAACGATTGCCTCTTACGTACAACATGGCATTTAGTGAACCAGAACCTCCTATCATTTTACCACGGGGCCAATAACATTTCTCATCCTTATAAGCCTTGCAAGAACGTCCATTGGGTTGCACAAAGTAGGGATAAGCATATTCTGAATGTTGCATGCCCAGAAATAAGTTGGGAACCTTTTTAGGAAATTAAAATTTTAATAGATTTTTAGTTTAAAATCATACACATACCTCAGATTCTTGTGGTGGATCACCACCAGCTTCCAAAACCAATACTTTCCACTGGGGATTCTCACTCAAACGACTAGCCACTATGGAGCCAGCAGATCCGGCACCCACCACCACAAAATCATAAGTTTCCAAACCCTCTTTCAAGGCTGTCTCTGCATAGTCGGGTGGCCAATAGTCTGGCTGGGTAATATTACACTGAGCCGCAAATATACTTTGTACCAGTAAAGTAACCAGTGAGTTTATAAGACCCGTGCTGGGTGTAGAACATTGTGCTGCCAAACTAGCAGACATCTTTACGCTTTGACTAACGAAATGAAAATGAATTTGAATGAGTCTTCTTTATTCTTCTTTATTTATTTAAAACTATAATTTTAATAACTGTATAATCTCTAAGAAGAGTAAAGGTCCCTTGCGCTCTCTCGGATTTTTTGGGGTACTTAACAACTCAGTACTTTAGTACCGAACTTATTTTAAAGTAGCATTTATATCAAAATTTATTATTGTTGGTTTTCTTATCAGTATATAATTGTTATAATTAACAAGTAAGAAATTATAGTCGGGCGAGGCCGACCATATAATACCCTACGCCTGTTACAAAAATAAAATGTGATTTAGTTTTCATATTAAAGCATTTAAGTTGAATTGTCCCTTGCCTCAGATATACTTAAGCCATTTATTGTTGAATAAAATTGTGCACATTTAAGTCAAATTTTGAAGGCGGCTTTGTATAGGGGCTATGGTCAAATGAGACCCTAAAATTATAAAATTCATAAGAGTCATCAAGGCTAGTATAGCACTTGATATTGCAGCATTTTGTCGAGATACGAGTATATTAAACATAATTATGAATTTAAAAGCCTTATTCGTCGGGTTGAGTTGTATGGGGGCTAGGTGAAATAATGGACCGATGTTAACCATTTTCAACAGGCTTTGTCTCCGGTACCATAGATGATCATGTGCCAAATTTCTTTGAATTGTCTTCAAAATTGCGACCTGTAGTTTGATTACTAGGTTTACAAGCCCTATTCAGGGGTTCAGTTGTATGGAGGCTAGGTGAAATAAAGGACCGATATTAACCATTTTCAATAGGCGGACAGACGGACATAGCTAAATCGACTCAGAAAATGATTCTAAGATTGGTATACTTTAAGGTGGGTATAGGACCAATATTATTGTGCATTACAAACATCAGCACAAACCCAATATACCCTCCCCACTTAAGTGGTGTAGGGTATAATAACATTAGTTGTTGGTAAAATGTAATTAATTAAGTGTTTAAGTAGTATATGAAAAGCTGTCTAAATTTTGAGGTACTAACGTAATAAAAGGTTTAAATAAACTGTTCTTAATAAACTATTTGCACTATTTGCACCCTACGGTAATTAGAAGGCAATGTTTGAACTGGCTATTGGTTTTATAACAGAGTTTTGAATGAAATTTTATTAATGATTATACATCGTTGAGATCAAGGCCAATATGTTGCGCCACTACAATAGGATAAGTTTATAGATCGGGGGACAGAGTTAGATGATTTGAAACTTCACCATGCATATATGTATGGAATGATTCCCTTGATAACATCGCGGAAATCGAAATATTGTGTTCCTTGATTGGTAGAATCTTCAGGAGATCGAAGCCTTTAACGCTCCTGGGGCCACAAAATAACACTCAGCCTCTAGGCGGTTGTTACAACAGCAATTATTTAATCGGGGCATGCTACATCGAGGTGCAGACTTCTTCTACAGAATTTGTTTCTTAATTTCATTGAACAAAGTGACTGCTCACCTGTTAAGTTTGAGTTTATAATGAAGAACCAGATTACATGCTATGCGGAACCAGTAGGCAGAACTTTTCTAAAGAATACGTTCCTTAATTTCCTTAAATAAGGTGCAGTATGTTTGGCCGGGCAACTGAATATGTGAGGATTATAATGAAGACCCAGACCACAAGCTAAATTCATTTGGGATGTCTACGTACGTTATGTTATGACTTCCCAAGATGAACTCTTTTATGACGTTGTGATTCTATAAGAAATCCTGTGAAAGGATCTTCCTTTCCTCTATAAGGAATCCTGCGAGCGCTATATCTATGAACGTCGTTCGAAACTCTCATATATGACATGCCTCGGTGGAACACCCAACTGTGTGATGTTAAAGTTGTAATGACTCGTCCAATGACATTACAGGAGTATCTGTTTTATCATCCTGAGAACCTTCGTTTTCTTGTGTAGATGTGATGTAAGTGTAAGATCGTCCAATGACATCCCAAAAGGAACTCTTTTATCAACATGACGTTGTGATCATTGATTGCGAGAATCTTCGATTACTTTATAAGAAATAATGCGAGCTATATATCTATTTACGTCATTCGAAACTGTCATTGCTTAGGGTAGAACTGTGTGATATTAAAGTTGTAATTACTCATCCAATGACATTCCTGGAGAAACTGTTTGTCCATCTGAGAACCTTCGTTTCTTCACGTAGGTGTGAAGTTAGAGTCAGTGACTTCTGAGAAGGAACAGTTTCATCAACATGACACTATGTAGAATCTTTGACTGCGAGCATCTTCGCATGCAAAACGAGTTTGTCCTGTCATTTTGCAGGTTTGAATTTTACTACTTTAGGTATCTGGAACATCAGAATTAATCACTGATGGATCAAATTTAAACAAAGCCAACATGGTTTCTTTATCCATGCTTCAAAAGCTGTAGGGTGCTTCTTTGAGGATTTTGTTCCTATTTCGCAATTTGAATGTGATCAGTGATACCACGAAAATCGGTTCTAAGCTTCAAAATTCTCCGAATTATTCGCATTCTAGCAACAAACAAACAATTTTCGCCACACCTCTTCCGGCATTACTGCGCGATAACCTCTTGTCGAACCATGGGTTTAATATGTCCTCAGGGCGTTCATTCCAGCCAATGGCTTTTTATTTGTTTTCTTTTAAAGTTTTGCAAAATGTAGGGTATATACGATTCGTTACGATCAAAGAACTCTCACTTTTTTTTATTAAATCATAAAGTAAACAATTAACACTTTTCAAATGTTGAAATTCATGGGAAGAACAAGAATTTGGCATATGATCGGTTGCACCGAATCTAAAATACCAATAACCCAGTATACTAGTATAAAAGAGAAAACCAAGAGATGTTTAACTTTTATACCGGAGTGTACTTTTCTAAAGGATTGAGATGCGCTAAATCCGAATCCAGCATCAGAGTCAGGTTTTCGAGATATCATTGTAGCAAATTTTATGTAATGATATTTCGAAGATAAAAGAAGGTTGAAACTTTATTTTAATAATGACAGATAGGACTTTCTGAAGACATAACAAAATGTATAAACAGATGTGTCTTTAATCTGTTATAACGTCTCAAATAAAGTCTCTTTTCAAACTTTATATATAACCTTAACATTGTCATGTAGGGTATAAAACTGCGCACTGACATTCGTGAAATTACACACACGTCTGTACGTATTAACAGTCTAAAAATATAATAAAATAAATATATACTCACATATTGCACTCACATAAAATTTAAAAAAGGGGCAATTCCCCGCTTTTTATATTTTTATTTTATATATATAAATATTTAGTTCAAACAAATTCAACGCTCAGTCCAAATAGAAGAACCCATTTGAAAACAACAACTGTTACAATACAATCCAAAAAGAAGAAAACAAGAGCTGAAAATATAATTCACTATGGATAATAACCCATCGATCTTGGATAATTCATATAGTCATACAAGTTATCGGACCACTTCAACCCAAAATAATACATTCCTCAATCGTTTTATTTGCGCCTTTCAACCCAAAAGGGCAAAAAATGAAAACGATAATAACACGTCTTTCATTAAGATCAATAGCAAAACTAGTAGTACTTTTAGTGAAAACATCAATGGTAAAGAGTTTAGTACCACCCGTTCGGCAACACAATCCACAGTAGCAAATCCTATATCTACTACACATGAATCATCTATTGAAACAACAGTAAACCGCTCAACAACGGATACGACTCCATATAATGTCCCAGAAAAACTTTGTGCAAACGAGTTATAAAAATAATTGGATTGAAGATTGAAATAGACATATAAGAAAATGGAGCATAGATCGGTCCACAGTAGGTCACATAAGAGACCTACTACCCAATAATAATTCAAATGTATGTAAGTCGACTATGTCTATATTAATGTGCAAATAAATGTGTTTTATCGGTTCATAATTCTATTCCAACAATTTGTTAGGATCTAAATAAAATTTATTTACACCAATGAGAGAAAGTTTGCTTTATTTTACAAGGATCGATATCGATGAGTTAGTGGTTAGTGTTCTAGTCTGTTATACCGGAGGTCGTTTAGTCGATTTTCATCAGAACAGCGGTAAATTAGCATATAATAGGCTAGGAGCGATACCTAATTGGCCATTTCTATTATATAAGTCGTCTTTCCATGCCAAAGTTCGTTATAAATGTGGATTTCAATGATAACGGTCACAATCGCATACTTTCCTACATCTTTTCATTATAATAAATTATTTGTAATTTGTTTAATAAATATAAAATTTATTAAAACTTTTTTAAAGATTCTAGCCCATATAACGGGAAATTCCCTTTTTGTAAAGAAATAAAGAAATCAATAATCAATTTTTTCATTTCAATTAAGTATTATACATTTAGAACTAAAGAAATATAGAGGGAAGACCCCTTTTGCAAATGAATAAAGTAAACAACCTTATCTATTATCCACTATCGAAAAAAGAGGGACCTGGGGTATATTGTTTTTGTTTTTCTTTTTGTAACACATCGAAATATACTATTAATCATAAATACAAAAAGTTATCTTTCTAAATGTATATATAGCAAATCAGGGCCCAAATTACTAAATGGAGATTTCGATTGATATCTTATGCCATAATTTGGGCCCTGAGTTCTATACTCGGCTGTGCCAAATCTTTGAGAAAATCAATTTTTAAACAATTTCGTACTAAGATAAAGATCAACGCGTGGTCAAATGTTAAGGGATTTTTAGAAACAAAGTTGCATTTTACTCCTGATATACATAGTTTTCTAATCCTTTAATAAATAATACGGTTCCTATATAAAAACAGCTTCTTCTTTCTAAATCCGTTGAAAAATTTAAAATCGGTTGAGATTCAACTAAGTTATCAACTTATAAGTGCTTAAAGGTACGAAAAAACGGGGTAAAACACGTATCTCAAGAGTTTTTTCAAAAACAGATTTCTATTGTACTCGGTAATAACTTTCAGGAAAATGGTATCACTTCCCAGGTAGTGAAGGGTATTATACGTTTGTTCTGATCTTTCCCAGTAAAATATTTTCAAATTTTGGTGATGAGTATTGTAGGTAATGTAGTTATTTCACACATTACTTGGTAATGAGTGGTCTTTATTAATAAAATTATTTAATTTTTTTTTGGATAGGATTTGTAGCTAGGTGTATAGAGCGTATGTCTAATAAGGAATTAGTTTAAACCATTAACTAATTCCTAAAACCTAGTCGATATTAGAAGATTTTTGAAGAAATATTGATTTGTACCTTTGTGTAAAAACTATTCCAAATAGCACGATAAAACAACTGGTTAATGGAGCATTGGGTAATAGAATTGACTAATAAACACGGAAAATAACTGTAAAGCCGGTTTTAAATCCGGAATAGTCTGGTAAGCACATTTGTAACCAGTTATTTTTTGGTCATCGTCAAACAAAAATAAGTAGTTATTCACCCAAAAAGAAAGTACTTACACTTTGTTCCAATATTACTTGCCTACTTACCGGGTAAGTAAAGATTTTGCTGGGTTATAACGCATTAAAATATTAATTAAGTGTACCGATCGACTCAGAATCACTTTCTGTCCGTCCGTCCGTCCGTCCGTCCGTCCGACCGTCCGTCCGACCGTCCGTGTGTCCATGTAAACGTTGTTATCAAAGGGCAGGTCGCAATTTTCAGATAAAGATAATTTGATAAAATTTGGAATACACGTTTGTTTTGGACGAAGCCTATTGAGAATGGTTAAAATAGGTCCATTATTTCACCTAGCCCCCATACAACTGAACCCCCCGAAAAGAGCTTTTGAGCTCATAATTATGTATAATATAAATGTATCTCGATGAAAGTTCGCACATTTAAGTTTTATACAAGCCTTGATGACCTTGCCGAATTTCGAAATGATCGGACTTCATTTGACCCTAGCCCCCATACAAAGCCCCCTTCAGAAAGTGACTTGAATATCCGCAATTCATTTATTAACACTGCTATTGCAATGAAATTTAGCACAGACAAAGTTTATATAAATATAAATCTATCCAACCCATTTTAACGGGATCGGTCCACATTTGCTTCTATAGCCCATATAAAGCCTCTTTTAGAAAATTAGTTTTTCGTCATTAAATTGCTTAACTAAATCGGAATCAAGGTAATATTCAAGATAAATGCTTTATTATGAAAAATAAATCACATTTAATATTCATAACTAGTGTAGGATATCATATGGTCGGCCACGTCCGACTATACTTTCTTACTTGTTTTTCCTTCTGCACTATATAATTGGTTGGTGGTCTCAGATTTGCACTTATATCTCAGTTATTTTTTTCACCGATTTTGCTGATTTTCAATAGAAAACTTCTCGAAAGCATGTCTGACAGAATTATTGAAGATTGGGATCTAGGCTCTTTAGATTTTAGATTCGCTTAAAGAGAGAAAAATCACGCTGTACAATGAGAGAATTACGACAAATGGAAATAAATGTGTAATTTTTAAATATTTTGATTTCGATCTTCAAGGGCCTTCAAGAATGGGGTCAGAAGTATCACAAAACGTAATACATACGCGTAGGTAAAGACACACAACAAATGTAAAAGATACGCAATATATTACAATATGTTTATTCATTAAAAATTTATTTAATATACATAATAATCCCCTAAATAATGCAACTTACAAATCTAGTCCTCCTTCCAATCTTCTTTAATAATATCCGAAGCCTTTTTGGCAATCATTATCGTTGGTCCATTTGTATTGGCACTGGTAATAGAGGGCATTATAGAAGCATCGGCAACACGAAGATTATCAAAACCTTTAACTTTCAAACGATGATTTACACAGGACGATGTATCGTTACTTGGTGCCATTTTAACAGTACCAACATAATGATAACCACTCATAGTATAATAAGAAATATAACATTTCCAATAATCTGGCGACTTAAAATCATAAACATCACATTCTGCTATAGGTATATGTAAAATATGAGCATTTTTCTGCCGAAAAGCGGTGGAATTTTCCAAGCGTTCCATATATTTGGCGGCACGTAAAAGTACTTCTAAATCTTCTGGCTGTTGCAGATAATTTGTATCTATAATGGGTTCATCTAGATAAGAAGAAGATGATAAAGTTACAGAGCCTCTAGATTTTGGATGTAAACACATCATAAATACTCCCAAAATATCGTGAAAAAGTATGGCTTTCATAAAATATGCCACCATTTCCTGTGACATGGCAAAGGCTTGCGTGAAAATGCTCATACCCATAATATCACCTTTGCGAAGTGCTGTATGATACATTTCAACATCAGGATAGGGACTGTCGCTATGGGGATCAGTATTCATAAAACCAACCAGTGAAGTGGTACCAAGAGCACTTAACGGACCTTTGCTGTGCACTAAATATTCAAAAAGTTTATCTAACATATTAGTTTGATCAGCTGTTTGACTATCAAAAGCCACAAAAAAGCCAGCCATAACATGATCTTGTAAATTCTGACCTATAGGTAAATGGCGTATAACGGGAATATTTAAGGGTTTTAAAACCTCTGACGGACCTACTCCAGATAACATAAGTATTTGGGGAGTACCTATGCTACCTGCGGTTAATATAGCTTCTTTATTAACTTTGACATTTAAGGAATGTAAACCTTGAACTATGAAATCTATGCTTAAAACCCGTTTACCTTTAGCATCAAAATTCAATTTGGTAACACGAGCATTTTTAATAACTTGTAAATTAGATCTTTGCGAGACTCTACTCAAAAATGTCTTGGCTGTACTTGCCCGACGGCCATTTTCTATAGTGCCCTTGACTTGAGCGTAACCAGTGTAAAAGGGCTCTAGGAAGTCTTCTATATGAGCAAGACCTAATTCTTCGCCAGCATTATAAATCATTTGAAAAATGTCCTCATCATATAGGGGAAATTCATTTATAGCTAAATAACTTTGAGGGTGTGTTATATTGCCATCGGCACGTTCTAGTGCCTTAAAATAAGGCCAGACATCATCGTAGCCCCAACCTGTGTTGCCTTCAGCCAACCAACCGTCATAATCTGCACGATTGCCACGCACATAAAGCATGGCATTTATAGAGCCACCACCACCAATTAGTTTGCCACGGCACGATCTACATTGACCTTTCTTAGAGGCCTTACAAGAACGTCCATTCGGTTGTATCAATGTATTGTAAGCATAGTCCGTGTGTTGTAAGACTGAGAATAAACTGGGTACCTTTAAAAGAAAACAATTCAAATTATCAATCAGATTTTGTTTACAACATAACATAACAATTTATACCTCTGATTCTTGTGGTGGATCACCACCTTCCTCCAACACCAATACACTCCAATTCGCAATTCTGCTTAACTCACTGGCTACAAAAGATCCTGCTGAACCAGCTCCCACCACAACAAAATCATATGACGGTAAATCATTTCCTAAAGCTTTTGCGGCAAAATCTGGTGGCCATTGTCTGGCCGGCGATATCTGACACTGAGTTGCTAATAGGGATTGTATTAAAATCCCCATTAAAGTATTCATGGTCCCTGCACTGTTTAGTGTACATTGGCCAAGAGTTGCCGACATCTTACTTTAACTAAAGTTAAAATTTCAATAACAATTTTTTTGAGAATGCAGCTTTTTAAATGGAACATTTTATATAAAACGCTTTATTAAACGGTTCCTAATCAGATAATATACAAAGAATTTAACACAAAATTACTGTAAACAGTTTAATAACAGTACGATCAAAAGCGGTGGCTGGCACTCAGAGCCATTAGGAGCCGGAAGCCATCAACTTTAAGAGATTCAGTTTATTTTTTTTGCGTATTCACTTTATTTATCCAAAAAATTCGAGTGGTTCCTGCTTTTTATAAAAATAAAGTTTTAACTCTTTCTGCCGACCACTGATGTAAAGATAATATTATTTCGTTACATGCAAGAATGCAATTGACCAATACAATACATTAAAGTTTTTGTAAAATATAATTGTTTCGGTCAAGATAATTGTGTTCGAAATTTAATTATTTAAAATGTTTAAATGATAAGTTTTTAATAAAATTTTTATTATTTTAAAAAATTCAGTCTAGAGTATATACTGAATGATTTACTTTAACTATTTGGAATCATTATAGAAAACTATAATCAGCTTTCTGTCCCAAATGGATTGGGATATGGCGCAGTCCGTGTGGTCACATTCGATGGCAACATCGTTGTAGTCCAGAATAGATTTATTTCAGTTTAAGAATGAATGAACATCCGAAAAGAGTGACTAGGCAGATCTTTTATCTAACAGCACCCCGTCTCATGAAGGTTTTTCTGGCAGTTGTATGTAACATATGGCTCGTCATATTGGGTGAAAGGCATAGCTTGGAAACCCAAAACCTGGTTAACAACCTCTTTGCTAACGGGGAGAGTTGTAGATTGGGTACCCAAAGTCTTGGTCGCAATACCTTTACTCACCACTGGCAAAGGAACTTCAGTCAGACGAAAATTCCCTTATGAAATTGCGGAAGCACCAAAATGTTGTCCTTACCGACCTAGGCAACTTTTGGGCTACTTATTTAACGTCGATTTTTTGGTCAGTTGGTGGATTTGAGTTTCCCCTGCCCCCTTTCTGAGGGGCTTTAAACACCAGACATTTGCAGATTAGACTGGTCTGAGAAACTTCATTAGCTTTAAGCCTACAATTTTGCACTGACAACTTTGACATCTATATAAGTATTTTAAGAAAAAATGGGCGGCCTTACTTTACCAGGCGTGGCAATGCAAGGCCGTCAAATATAAAAATTTGTATATCTAAAAAATTCTAACAGTTAAAGTCCTCAAAATGTTGCCCGATAACTTTGACATCCGTATAAACATTTTGGCAACAAATAGCTAGACTAGTATTAGTGGGCGTGGCATTTCCCATATTAATCAAATACTAAAATTCGTATATCTGGGAAACTATAAAAGTTAGAGAGACCAATATCAATATGGATATTTAGGGGAAAAAAGGACGACTTAGAATCAGCGGGCGTGGCAATTCTCATATTAATCAAGTACTAAAATATGTATATCTGGGAAACTTTGATATCAAATATATACAGTTAGGGAAAAAATGGGTGAACAATTATTTGTGGGCGTGGCATCTCTCATATTAATTAAATAACAAAAATTCATATATCTGGGATACCATCACAGCTAGAGTCACCAAATTTTGTAATAGAAGAAATATTTAAGATGGCGGATCAAACAAACCTATTTTTTGGCAGTAAGTAGAGCAATGGACCTACGCAGTAAATTTATATAACATATATAATGTTCTCGGAGACGCTAATTAAGATTTTTCGGTAAATTTTTGATCATTTAAAAAAGTTTTCAACATTTTTTCGTAGATTTATAGTTACTGATTACTAATGCAAATTCAGATTTTCAAAATTCAATAAACTAAACCCTGATGGCGGATCCAATGTATTTAGGATCAATAAAGTAAAAAAGTCAAAAAGGCGGATCCAATACTATTATTTGTCAAATTATGCGATTTATATAAACAATATATATTTAATTTACTTAAAAACATATTTAGAATTTTAAATTACATATCTAGGCCGCCTTCCAATCCTCTTTAATCATATCCGAAGCTTTTTTAGCAATCATTACAGTTGGTCCATTAGTATTGGCACTGGTGATTAAGGGCATTATGGAAGCATCCGCAACACGCAAATTTTTAAAACCTTTAACTTTCAAACGATGATTTATACAGGACGATGTATCGTTACTTGGTGCCATTTTAACAGTACCAACATAATGATAACCACTCATAGTGTAATAGGAAATATAACATTTCCAATAATCCGCCGATTTAAATCATAGACATCACATTCTGCTATAGGTATATGTAAAATATGAGCATTTCTCTGACGGAAAGCGGTGGTATTTTCCAAGCGTTCCATATATTTGGCGGCACGTAAAAGGACTTGCAAATCTTCCGACTGCTGCAGATAATTTGTATCGATAATGGGTTCGTCCAGATAAGAAGAGGAATATAAAGTTACAGAGCCTCTAGATTTTGGATGTAGACACATCATAAATACTCCCAAAATATCGTGCTGAAGTATGGTATTCATAAAATATGCCACCATTTCCTGTGACATTGAAAAGGCTTGGGTAAAAACACTCATGCCTATAATGTCACCTTTGCTGAATGCTGCATGATATATTTCTACATCTGGATAGGGGCTGTCGCTAGTGGGATCGCTATTCATAAAACCCACCAGCGAAGTGGCACCATGAGCACTTAAGGGACCCTTGCTATGCACTAAATATTCAAAAAGTGTGTCCAACATTTGACTAGGATCGTTTGATTGACCATCCAAGGCCACAAAAAAACCAGCCATAACATGATCTTGTAAATTCTGACCTATAGGTAAATGGCGTATAACAGGTATATTTAAGGGTTGCAAAACCTCTAACGGACCCACTCCAGACAACATAAGTAGTTGAGCAGTACCTATGCTACCAGCGGTTAATATAGCTTCTTTGTTAACTTTGACATTTAAGGAATGTAAACCTTGAACTATGAAATCTATGCTTAAAACCCGTTTACCTTTAGCATCAAAATTCAACTTGGTTACACGGGCATTTTTAATAACTTGTAAATTAGATCTTTGCGAGACTCTACTCAAAAATGTCTTGGCTGTACTTGCCCGATGGCCATTTTCTATAGTGCCCTTGACCTGGGCGTAACCAGTGTAAAAGGGTTCTATGAAGTCTTCTATATGAGCGAGACCTAATTCTGCGCCAGCATTATAAATCATTTGAAAAATATCCTCATCATATAGGGGAAATTCATTTATAGTCAAATAACCTTGAGGATGTGTTATATTGCCCTCGGGCCTTACTAAAGCTTCGAAATATGGCCAGACATCACCGTAACCCCAACCTTTGTTACCTTCAGCCAACCAACCGTCATAATCTGCACGATTGCCACGCACATAAAGCATGGCATTTATAGAGCCACTGCCACCAATAAGTTTACCACGGCCCGAACTACATTGCCCATTCTTATAGGCCTTACAAGAACGTCCATTTGCTTGTATCGGAGTATTATAAACGTAGTCTGTGTGTTGTAGGGCATAAAATAAACTGGGTACCTTTCAAAAAACAAGAAAATTTATGTAAATTTGCGATAATTTTGCTTAACTTAGCATTATCTACCTCCGATTCTTGTGGTGGATCAACACCTTCCTCCAACACCAATACAATTCGCAATTCTGCTTAACTCACTGGCTACAACAGATCCTGCTGAACCAGCTCCCACCACCACAAAATCGTAAGCCTGTAAATCATTTTCTAAAGCTTCTGCTGCAAAATCCAGTGGCCATTGACTAGCCGGCGATATCTGACACTGAGTTGCTAATAGGGATTGTATAAGAATCCCCATAAAAGTGTTCACAACCCCTACACTGTTTAGAGAACATTGCCCAAGAGTTTCAGACATTTTACTTCAACTATAGATTTAATTCTAATGATCATTTGTTAAAAATTCAGCTTTTTAAATGAAACATTTTTTCTTAATTTAACGAAATCTAATCTAATAATTTACAAAGAAATTTATGATCCGGGCCAATCACAATTTTCACTTTCTTTTTCAAGAAAAAAATATATGATTTAAGATAAATTTTATTCCGGTAAATGCCATTGACCGATTAAATAGAATATGGCTTAAAGTCTTTGTAAGATATAATTATTTCTTTATTATATTAGCTTGAAAGCTAGATAACTGTTTCAAATATTCGACTTTAAGTAAAAATCTAGAAATTATTTGGAATGGATTTAAAATGATAATGGATGAATCATAATTTCGTTATCATGAAGAATTTCATTATCTTGTAATACTTTTGCTTTCACAGCAAAATTTTTAATCTGATTTACATACAACTTGACACATTAATAGGTCTGTCTTTGGTACTTATAGCATATATCAGATCTTTTCGGTGACACTTTTTACACCCACTTTGTGGCAAAGAGATATATTGTCAAATTTCTATGCAACAAATGCCAAAAACATCTATTGAACCGATTGATATGAAACTTAACACATTTATAGATCTATTCTCACATGGACCTATAGGCTATATCTCATCTAGATTAGATGTCATGCCCACTTTGTGTAAAACAATAATAATGCCAAATTTCTACGAATCAAGACAAATATGAACCGCTTTACTTGAAATTTAGGACCCAAATAGATATATTCTTCGAATACTATATATTATCTTGATTTGATATCACGACTATTTTTACCTACCCACCGACAACTATCGCGGGAATAAGTTACTACTAGATCCCATTCTTTCATGCTCCTTTATTTTGCAAATTAATAACTAATTCTATAATAAAGTTTATTTTCCATCACCCGATAACAAATATACAAAACTACTATCAGTTATTCACTGGACCAATCTTCCTTAATCATATCCGATGCCTTTTCCGCAATCATTATAGTAGGAGCATTTGTATTACCACTGGTTACATACGGCATTACTGAGGCATCAACAACACGTAAATTCTCAACACCCTTAACCTTTAATCTAGGATCCACACATGCACTATTATCGTTCAAAGGAGCCATTTTAACGGTACCCGTAGGATGGTAACATGTAGTAGAGAAATATTTAAAATAACATCTCCAATATTGTGGCGATTTAAATTCAAATTGATCGCATTCCTCAATAGGTATATGAATAATTTCCGCCTGTTTGTCTTGGAAAGCCTGGGTCCTCTCCAATTTCATTACATACTCCATGGCGCGTAGTAAAACTTCAATATCTTCTTCAGCTGAAAAATAATTTGCATTTATAATGGGCGGTTCTTGAGAAGATGATGATTTAAGTGTTAAATCCCCCACCGATTTGGGATGAGCTAATATAGCAAACATAGTTAGTAAATCGTAATTTTCCACTGTAGCCCTAAATGTGGGTCTAAATTCTTCTTTTATTTTAAAACCATTAAAAATTATATTCAAAGCCATATTATCACCTCTTCTAGTTATGAAATGATGAAATTGCATATCGGGATAGGGAGAGTTGCTGTTTAAGTCGGTGTTTACAAAACCCGTTATAGAAGTGGTGCCTTGAGTTGTAAAAGGTCCTTTGTTGTGTATTAAATATTGATAAATGTTATCGAGTAACTTTTTCTGTTCAGGAGGATTGCCAGCAATGCGTAGATATAATTGTATTATAACATGATCTTGTAAATTATCACCTATGGGTAGATTTTTTAACACAGGAATATTTAAAGGTTCCAGTTTGTGTGCTGGACCTATTCCCGATAATAATAAAAGTTTGGCAGAGTCTATAGTACCAGCCGATATGATAGCTTCACGTTTTACCTCCACTTTAAGTTTATGTTGTTGTTTTAATATAAATTCTATAGATTTGATGGCATTGCCGCTGTCATCGAATTCCAATTTGGTGACTTGAGCATTTTTAATAACTTTTAAATTTGGTCTTTGCGCAACACGACCCAAATGTCCTTTTCCCGTACTAACTCTTAGACCATTTTCTATAGTACCATTGAGATAGCTATAACCTATAAAGCTACCTTCTATATAGTCCTCCACTCTGGGTATGCCTAATTCCTGGGAGGCCTCAAACACCATAGAGAATATATCTTCATCATATCTGGGAAATTCATTGAAAGCAACATAACCCTGAGGATGTGTTTCATTACCCACTGGCCTAACAGATTTCTCGAAATACGGCCAAACATCATCATAACCCCAACCGGTATTACCTTCTTCCAGCCAACGATCATAATCGAAACGATTTCCTCTTACATACACCATACCATTGATGGCACCAGAACCTCCTATAAGTTTGCCACGAGGCCAATGACATCTGTTGTCTATATAAGCCTTACAGGACCTTTCACTGGGCTCTGTGAAATAACTGTAAGTGAATTTGGAATTTTGTATGCCAAAGAAGAAAGGGGGAACCTATTTAAACATAAAATTAGACAAATACAAAAATATAGAAATGTTTAATTACCTCCGATTCTTGTGGCGGATTATCACCTCCTTCTAATACCAATACATTCCAATTGGGATTCTCACTTAAACGACTAGCCACTACTGAACCAGCAGAGCCAGCACCCACCACTACAAAATCATAGGCCTCCAAACCAGTTACTAAAGCTGTTTCCGCATAATCGGGTGGAAAATAGTTGATGCTTGATATATTACATTGAGCGGCATATATACTCTGAACCAATAGAGTAACCAATGAATTCATTATACCCACACTTTCTAAAGGACATTGCGGAAAATATGATCCTACTTCGTTAACCCCAGTTGTGCTATAATCCATTTTAACTCAAAACGATGCGACTTACAAATGACTATTTTGAGTCGTTTATGTTAAGATTTAATATAATTCTTTATATTCATATATATAATCTTTATAGCACGATTTAGTTAAATCTTTTGTGTGATCAAAATGCTGGTCATTTATCTTCTATTCAGCATGGACTTAATTATACATATTGATTTTAAAAAATCTCAATTTCCATGCATTAAAATGAAAGCAACAAAGTTGTGAATAGATTAAAAGAAACATGAAAAATTAAAAATCATTATATAGTTTCGGAAGTTAGTTCCAAACAGTATTAGCAAATCTTTGATCCACACGCTATTACATTTCAATAGCTTTCAATAGACAAACATCTGACTACTAATGTAAGTGACTCGTAAATAAATTAAAATTTTCAATGGATTTTTTATTAAACTCCAAACCAAAAGATATTTTTATGATCTTATATTAATAAAAATTTACAATTAAAAATCATAATTGGACCAATCCTCCTTGATAATATCTGAAGCTTTTTCTGCAATCATAATGGTGGGAGCATTGGTATTGCCACTGGTAATATGAGGCATTATGGAGGCATCCACAACACGTAAATTGTGTATACCCTTAACCTTAAGTCTAGGATCCACACAGGTGCTTTCCTCATACAACGGACCCATTTTAATCGTACCCACGGGATGATAGCAAGTACTAGAGAAATAAGTAAAATAACATCTCCAATACTCTGGGGATTTAAATTGAAATTGATCACACTCCGCTATAGGTATTTGTAGAATTTTCACCTGTTTGTCTTTAAAGGCCTCGGTCTGCTCCATTTTCGTTATATAATCCATACCTCTTAGTAATACTTCCACATCTTCTGGTGCCGTTAAATAATTTGCCCTTATTATGGGTGGATCTTGTGGAGAAGAAGATTTAAGTGTTAAATCTCCCCATGATTTAGGATGAGATAATACGGCGAATATAGTCAATAAATCATAGTTTTCAATGGACTCTCTAAAGAAAGGTCTGAACTGTGATTTCACTTTAAAACCATTTAAAAGTAAATCAAAACCATTAACATCACCCCGTCTGGTAATAAAATGATGAAATTCCATATCGGGATAAAGGGAGTTAGAAGACAAGTCCGTGTTAATAAAACCAGTAATAGAAGTACTACCATGAGAAGTAAATGGACCTTGGTTGTATATTAAGTACTGATAAATATTATCGAGCAGTTGTTTTTGATCGGGTGGATTAGCGGGTATGCGTAGATATAATTGTATTATAACATGATCTTGTAAATTTTCACCTATGGGTATATCAGCAATAACAGGTATATTTAAAGGTTTTAGTTTATATTCTGGACCCACTCCCGAAAGCATTAACAATTTTGCGGAATCTATAGTACCCGCTGATAGAATAACTTCACGTTTTACCTCCACTTTTAGTTCTTCTTGTTGTTTTATAGTAAATTCCACCGATTTTACCGTGGGGCCGTTATTATCAAATACCAATTTGGTTACTTGAGCATTTTTAATTACTTTTAAATTGGGTCTTTGAGCAACTCTACCCAAATGTCCTTTACCAGTACTAACTCGTAAACCATTTTCTATGGAACCCTTAAGATGGCTATAACCTATATAACTACCTTCACCAAATTCCTCCACTCTAGGTATGCCCAACTCAGCGGAGGCTTGAAAAATCAAAGAGAATATATCCTCATCAAATTGTGGAAATTCATTGTAGGGAACATATCCCTGGATATGTGTATGATTTCCAGCTGGTGTTATGGCCTTCTCAAAATAAGGCCAAACATTATCAAAACCCCAACCGGTGTTGCCTTCCTCTAGCCAGCGATCATAATCAAAACGATTACCTCGTACATAAACCATGCCATTTATACCGCCCGTACCTCCTATAAGTTTACCTCTCGGCCAATGACATTTATTATCGGTAAAGGCCTTACAAGAAGTATCACTAGGTTCCGTATAGTAACTATAAGTATAATTGGTATTTTGTAGACCGAAAAAGAAGTTAGGTATCTGTAAGAAAGAAATTAATAATTATTGTCTTTGGCTCAATATAAACCGCTTACCTCTGATTCCTGTGGCGGATCATCACCAGCTTCCAAAACCAAAACATTCCATTTAGGATTCTCACTTAAACGACTAGCCACTACAGAGCCAGCCGAACCAGCTCCTATTACCACAAAATCAAAAGCCTCGGGACCTGAACGCAAAGCCGTTTCCGCATAATCTGTTGGCCAATAGTTGGTATCGGAAATATTACACTGAGCCGCATATAAACTCTGAACTAAGAGAGTAACCAAGGAGTTCATTACACCCACACTTGGTATAGGACATTGTGGTCCAACTCCAGCTTCCATATAATTCATCTTAACACGACGCAGTACAAATTACAAATGACTATTATCCACGATAATTTTTAAAATTTAATTCTAATTTAATATTCAGATTTAACTTGTTTTGAAAATTGTTTTTATTTGTGTTTACAAAAAAAATTTAAATCATTTGTTATTATTTGTTTCAGATATCGAGTTTATTTCTTAAATATGAATGAAATCTAGTTTTCTTTAATAATGGGGTTTTTGACCCTTACCTGTTTTTGTTTTCAATTGCAATATTATTTTATTAATTTTGTCAAAAATAAGAGGAAAATAATATATGTTTTTGAGTTAACTTTAAAAAAAAATATATAATTTTGAATATAACTTTAAAGCCAGAATTAGAACTAAGTTCTCAGAATCCTTTTCTGAACCGATTTAGCTGTGAATGATATGAATGGAACATTATCTATAGTCTAGTCCAGGGGTCGGCAAACTACGGCTCGCGAGCCAAATGCGGCTCTTTGGATGTGGAGCTGTGGCTCTTTAGTTTCATAAACACTTTCTTATTTTATAAACAAATATTTATATATTTTAAAATATTTCTGAATCGATTAACAAGCAGTGTTTGTTAAAACTAACAAAACAATTCGCAAACGTTTTTACAATATACACAACTTTTCATCTTTGTTTAATCATTTTGTACGTAAGCAAAATAAAGCAAATTATTTTTGGGCGAGAAAGAGCGAAAACAAAACAATTAGTTTTCAGTCATTTCCTTGCTTTTATTTACCATTGTGCCATTTGGAATTGGTACTGGATCTCTAGAAATGCAGATGATCAATTTAAAAAGTAAAGCTTTAGTTATGGAAAATTGTCAAAATTTAAAAGCCAGTTGATAGAGTTTAGTAAAAAGCCAACTAACAAATGAATGTTTAGAGTCGTTTGTGAAACTTTCTAAAGCCATACAAACCTATCTCTCCCACTGAATTTGCTCCATGTATAAGTTAGTATTGTAAGAAAATGTTTAATTCTTAAAATTTTTAATTAAAAAGTTCAGTATAAACGAATGGGGCATCATGAGCGCTCCTACGAAGTGCCATTAGATAGGATGTAAATCATGATCGTACATTTCGAAATTTTCATGTTTTTCGAATTAAAACATATTTTTTGAAAATTAAAAGTATCTTAATTAATTAATTAATAATGTGGAGAGTTTGGATACAGTTAAATACTAAAAACTTGGTCTATTTGAAAACTTAAATATTGGGTGTTGGTTGGTAGTATCAATTCGGAACCCATCTTATTAAATTTGGTACAGATATTTTTGTTTCTATAAATTTGTTTATGACGAATTTCACAACTATGCTGGTATTATTAAGCCTTTTATGAGCTTTAAGCCTTTTATATGCTGGTATTATTAAGCCACTTTATAACATTTCACAGTTTCGAAGTTAAAAATTTAAATTTTCATGAATTTTAAGGTAATTTTAGAACGCTGATTTTAATTGTAGGAGTGTAAAACTTAGCAGGAACATGTATTTTGATACGGTGCGTCATAATCAATCAAAAAGTCGATTTTGATTTTTTTGTAACTTAGGGCTTTTTGGATTTCATATGAAGATTTGTAAAGTTTTAATAAACAAAAATTTTGTGGCTCTCTTAAAACATATGTTTTGCAAACTGTAAATTTGGCTCTTCCGACTCAAAAGTTTGCCGACCCCTGGTCTAGTCTATAGTCAAGTCTATAGTCTAGTCTATAGTCTAGTCTATAGTCTAGTCTATAGTCAAGTCTATAGCCTAGTCTATAGTCAAGTCTATAGTCTAGTCTATAGTCAAGTCTATAGTCTAGTCTATAGTCTAGTCTATAGTCTAGTCTATAGTCTAGTCTATAGTCTAGTCTATAGTCTAGTCTACAGTCTAGTCTATAGTCTAGTCTATAGTCTAGTCTACAGTCTAGTCTATAGTCTAGTCTATAGTCTAGTCTATAGTCTAGTCTATAGTCTAGTCTATAGTCTAGTCTATAGTCTAGTCTATAGTCTAGTCTATAGTCTAGTCTATAGTCTAGTCTATAGTCTAGTCTATAGTCTAGTCTATAGTCTAGTCTATAGTCTAGTCTACAGTCTAGTCTATAGTCTAGTCTATAGTCTAGTCTACAGTCTAGTCTATAGTCTAGTCTATAGTCTAGTCTATAGTCTAGTCTATAGTCTAGTCTATAGTCTAGTCTATAGTCTAGTCTATAGTCTAGTCTATAGTCTAGTCTATAGTCTAGTCTATAGTCTAGTCTATAGTCTAGTCTATAGTCTAGTCTATAGTCTAGTCTATAGTCTAGTCTATAGTCTAGTCTATAGTCTAGTCTATAGTCTAGTCTATAGTCTAGTCTATAGTCTAGTCTATAGTCTAGTCTATAGTCTAGTCTATAGTCTAGTCTATAGTCTAGTCTATAGTCTAGTCTATATAGTCTAGTCTATAGTCTAGTCTATAGTCTAGTCTATAGTCTTTTTTTTTTTTTTTTTTTTTTTTTTTGTTGCGCCGGAGGTGTGGAATCTTCAAAAGATGTATCCAACCCGTGTTGGAAAACATGCACGACTCGCCTAGGCGTCTACGTACTAAACCACACCCCCTTACTTCCCCACTCCCCGCGGGACTGCCAATTGGTATTACTTCGCGGGGGGGTTTGCCCATAATAGGGAACTCTTCGTTTCTTACTCTATCACATTTTGTGATGCACTGCTGAGGGCCATTTTACGGACAATTTCCGCTTCGCGTAGTGTTTTGTTTATATCGTTCATAAACCTATTAACTGCGTCCCATTTCTCTTGGGATTTCAGCATTATGCTGGTTATGTTGGTTACCGTTATACTTTCACCTAGATTAGATTCTAGTGTGTTTCGGTTACTTAAAAATCTTGGACATACGAATGTGACGTGTTCCGCCGTTTCATCCTCTTCGGCGCATTCTGGGCATCTGGGAGTGCTATCGTGACCGAAGCGATGCAGGTAACTTCTGTATCCGCCATGTCCCGTAAGGAATTGAGTTAGGTTGTAATTCACTTCACCATGTGGCCGATGTATCCACGTATTAATATTAGGTATTAGTCTGAAGGTCCAACGGCCTTTAGGAGAGTTTTCCCATCTTCTTTGCCAACTTGCTATGGCTTTTTCTCTTTCAGTTTTCCGAATTTGGTTTTTGGGGATCTCCGGATTTTCGCGTAACGTATTATATACATTCGACATTTCCTTCATGGTTATATCTATGGGTACTATTCCTGCGATTACATTTGCTGCTTCCCCTGATATAGTCCGGAAGCCACTACACACTCTTAAGCAGTTTCTTCTAAATAATGAAATCACACCTTTTTTTGATGAATTATTTATTTCTTTCTCCCAGATTGGTGATCCATATAGGAGTATTGAATTAATTACACTTGATATAAGAAGTCTACGACTGTGTCGTGGTCCTCCGATGTTCGGCATCATTCTGGCTAATGCGTTTGTTACACCAACTGCCTTTTTACATGTATACTCCATGTGTCTTTTAAAGTTCAGACGGTCGTCTATCATTACTCCTAGGTACTTTATTGCTTCCGATGACACAACTGTGGTCTCTCCTACTAATACTGATAAGGATTCCCGTTTTCTTTTTCCACTTACTAAAACAAGCTCAGTCTTCTGTTCTGCTAGATGAAGGTTTACTGATTTTAGCCAATCTTTAATCGATCTGATTGCCTCGTTTGCATATAGTTGGACTTCGTCAATGAATCTTGCTTGGACAAGTATTGCAATGTCATCTGCGAAGCCTACGATGGTTGCTTCCTCGGGAATTTTTAAGCCAAAGATGCCGTCGTACATAATATTCCACAGCAGGGGTCCTATGACTGACCCCTGTGGGACACCGGATGTGATATTGTACGTTTTCATACCTGCATCAGTATTAACCCACAAAGATCTATTAGAAAAGTAATCTTTGATTATTCTTATTAGATACTCTGGGGTATTAATATGTCTTAAAGACGCTACAATATGATTCCACCCAGCGGAATTGAAGGCATTTTTTATGTCAAGTGTTATGACAGCGCAGTACTTCCTTTGTTTACCTTTGCCGGTAATTGCACTCTTGGCGGTATCTATGACGAACTTAATCGCATCGATAGTCGATTTTGCCTTTCGAAAGCCATACTGTCTAGCGGATAGGCCTTGGGCACTCTCTGTGGCATCCAATAATCTTTTATATATTATCCTTTCAAGGCATTTACCCATAGTGTCCAACAGGCATATAGGTCTATATGACTGTGGTTCTCCAAGGACTTTTCCCGGCTTAGGGATCAAGATGAGTTTTTGTTTCTTCCATTCATCAGGGAACTTACCTTCTTCGAGGCATTTTTTAAATAGTCGGGCGAATACTGCTGGTCTTAATGATAGCGCGAGTTTTAGGGCTCTGTTAGGAATGCTATCCAATCCTGGAGCTTTGTTGTCACCGATTTTTGTGCATATATTTTTTATTTCGTCTTCAGTTATTTCGACTTCGATGGGTTCGGTCATGGCAGGAACATCTGTATATTGTTCTCCTTCAGGAAATAGGGCTTTTACTATATTGTCTATGAGGGAAGGACATGTAATATTTTGTGCTTTTTTCCCCTTAAGTCGGGCCATTACTACACGGTATGCATTTCCCCATGGATTGGCATCAGCTTCCCTACATAGTTGCTTAAAACATTCCGCTTTGCTTGAGTTTATAGCATTTTTTAGGTCTTTTCGCGCTTGGTGATAGGCATATCTTCTTGATGGTAGTTCGATCCGCGACTTGCATCTCTGGTACAGTCTTCTGGATCTCAAACAGTTTTTTCTAAGCAAAGCAATATTGCTGTTCCACCAATAGTTTTCTTGTCTCCTGTTGTTTGATCGTTTGGTTGGCATAGATGCATTGCATGATCTTTTAAGTGTTATTACTATTTCTTCTGTCATAGTTTCTATATCACTTTCATCTATTTGGTGATTGCAGAAAATCTC